AAATAGGCCGGACATTATTGTCAAAAACCAAAAAGAAAAAACTTGCCTACTAATTGATATGGCTTGTCCAGCGGATTGTAACATAGCAACCAAGGAATTTGAAAAACTATCAAAATACAAAGACCTGGAAATTGAAATAGAAAAAATGTGGAAATTGAAAACAAGAATAATACCAGTGGTAATAGGTGCACTTGGAATTATAAAAAATGGAACAAAACAACACATTGAAAGAATCCCTGAAACCCCAGCTTAAGAGACATACAGAAAATTGTCTTATTAAGTACAGCACACACACACTAAGGAGAACTTTGTCTATGTAACGCTAGCAACTTCATCGGAGATAAAAAAAAAAAAAAAAAAATTAACATGAAATGTGGCCATAACAACACACCACGACCTGCCTTAGGTCTTTCCGCAGACTTGGTAGGTAGTGTGTCCATAGCAGAAATCGAATGATGATGATGATGACAATAATAATAATAATAATAATAATAATAATAATAATAATAATAATAATAATAATAATAATAATAATAATAATAGTAATAATAATAATAATAATAATAGTAATAATAATAGTAGTAATAATAATAATAATAAAACAGAAGAAAAAATGAGAAAACAATAGAACAGGCAAGGGAAAAAGTAACAAGCAATTTTTATTTAATGTTACATATTTAAAGTAATTGTGTTTATAGTGATATACTAAATGTAGCTTAGATGTTATTTTTTTTATAATCATTCACCCCAAGCAAGGCGTGAGTGCCACTAGTAAGCAAGGGGTTACATAGAGTGTAAGTATTTGGTTTGGTTTGTTTTGTTTTTGTTGTTTTACGGCATATCACCCTCAATGGGTTATGTAATGCCGACAACATTTTTATTGCTGGCAATATTTTGTTTTGTGAAAAATCTATTTCTGGTAATATTTTTTCCTTCAAAAATGTTCTGCTGGTAATAATTTAAAAAAAATATTATTGCTCGTAATATTTTTTTCCTCAAAAATGTATAGCTGGTAATATTTAAAAAAAAAAAAGTATTGCTGGTAATATTTTTTTACAGAGTATTACTGGTATTAAATCCTATTTTTACACTTTCATAGTGTTTTTACCCCAGTTTCTGGGTTAACTATTTCCCCATAGCTTGGACCCCTAACAGGTGCTACCACCCCGGGTCAGGGTGGACCTGGGAACACCAGCAATTAAGAGGTGGTTCCACGCTCCTGAAAAACCTCCTGATCAGAGGCCTTACTGTTGGACATAGTTTATCGTCTCACCCAGGGCGCGGATGTAGTTTATCGTCATACCCAGGACGAAGAGTGAAAGTAAGAGAAATGTTTGTGTATATGGGTGGTCGAGGAAAGAATAAAAAGAAGAACAGGAATCAAGGCGTCAGAAGACGTCGATTGACATTGCATTTAAATTTATGGTGATTATAGTTGTCAGAAAAACAAGTAAGAGTAAGGGAGTTCCACCGTTGGGAAGTGCGAGAGAAGAAGCTGTTGGAGTAGAAGAGGCGGTTACACTTAACTGTTTGGACAGTAAAAGGGTGGGACCGAGATGCCAACCTAGTCGCACGTTTAAATTCATGCAGTCGGGGCACCATGAAAATAGTTCGTCACAGCAGTTACCCTGAAAATATATGTGGAAAAGACAGAGTGAAGCCACGTCACGTTTGTGAGAATGTGTGGAACAAGGCCGAGATTAAGGAGCACGCAGTGAGAATCAACCTCACTTCTCAGTCATAGTTGATCTAGCGAGACAAGCTTTCACACTATTGTACCACGTCGATGTACTCTAGTAATTGTGTTTGTAGGTTGATTTTAAAACATGTTAATCTTTGGTAGGTTCAAATCTCTTTTAAGAATTGTGTCCATAAGATTTTACTCGGTAGGGCGATACGTAAATATTAGGGCGAGTCCTTTATATTTGTGTCTATAAGCTTTTTTTACTTGGTTCAAGAATCGATAAATACAGTCTGTATATGTTTTCGTCTTTCAGCATTTACTTGGTTCGATGATTAATACATATTGATCGTTTATATTTGAGACAACAAGCATTTACTTGGTTCAAAAATAAATCGATACTGGTCGTATATATTTTAGTCTACATGGATTTATTTGTTGGAAGAAATATGTAAATATTGGCCGTTAATATTTGAGTCTATAAGTATGGCTCCTTTTGTGGGTTTATCGTAACTCTCTGCGGGAGATGCACTTGGCGTATTTTAGGATCTATCAACAGGGCTATCTACGTTTGACTGGAATTGTGATCTAGATATCATTTTTAGGGATATACATATATTGTTGTATATAATGAGTTATAGATTGATTCGTTTTCTACGGGTTATCAATCCTTTGCGGGTTATTTAAAGCCAGAACATATTTTTTGGTTTTTGAGAATTTTGGGGGTAGTAATGGTTTAGTGATACAAGTCTTAGAAGTATTCTAAAACAATTTAAGCCATTATTGGTTACACCACCCACACGACCAGTATCTAGTATTCCCAAGCAGTCCCCCATCAGGATAGTAACCAGGCTCGACGTTGCTTAACTTTGCCGATCGTAAAGGAACCTGTGTTTCAACGTGTTCTGGTAGTAAGCCCATTATACCATATCCCCATCTAAGAATACAGCACCTAGAATTCCGAATCGGTCACCCACATAGCCTCAACGTAAACGTAGGGAAACCGTTATCCATTAAATCACCCACACGTCCAAGCTTACGATACCTTTTATTCCCAAAGAGTCTCCAATCAAGCTAGTAATCAGGCTCGACGTTGCTAACTTCGACGATCCTACGGGAATGTTTCAACGTGTTATGGTTGTAATTCCATTATACCATATTCACATCTAAGATTACAGCAACTGGTATTTCCAATCGGTGACCATTCTAGCGTAACCGTGAATGTACAGAAACCGGTATTTCAACGTGATATGTCCGGAAGCTAGTGTATAATGAACAGTGGGATGTGTTTGATGCATTTATGAAGATCAACGATGTTTTGGGATTTACAGTTATGTGAAAAGATTAGAAAGCCTTCACTTTGTTTTCATTTCAGTGTAAATGAACAAATGGATATTTGATCTTTCTTTTAAAATTATCGAGAAATGGAAGTATTGCAACTAAATAAATATAAGTTACAATACCTAAAAAGGATTATTGTGAAGATTTCATTAATACAAATGCAATTTTCTTGATGAAAAAAGTTAGAACTTCTCTTAAAATAGAATCATGTGCATTGGAAATAATTAGAAAATCGGTAGAGAGGATTTTTGGAGGAGCATATCCACTTTAAATTTCAGACACTTGGTCAGCAGGAATTTGCATTTTAGCGCATGTTTTGTTAAATGATAACAAAGTAGGATTTTGTTCGATTACACAGCTTTTTCAGTCTATCTATCTATCTATCTATCTATCTATTTCAGTGACTTTTTATCTATCTATCTATCTATTTCAGTGACTTTTATCTATCTATCTATCTATCTATCTATCTATCTATCTATCTATCTATCTATCTCAGTCACTTTTTTATCTATCTATCTATCTATCTATCTATCTATCTATCTATCTATTTCAGTGACTTTTTATCTATCTATCTATCTATCTATCTATCTATCTCAGTGACTTTTTATCTATCTATCTATTTCAGTGACTTTTTATCTATCTATCTATCTATCTATCTATCTATCTATCTATCTATCTATCTATCTATCTATTTCAGTGACTTTTTATCTATCTATCTATCTATCTATCTATCTATCTATCTATCTATCTATCTATCTATCTATTGTTTGAAAGAAGGCCAAATATTAATTTCTTTGTATGATTGTAAATTTGTACGCTCTCATCCAAAACTAGAGTCCTTGTTAGGCTTAATTTTTAGTAACATTTGGAAACAATTTCAAAATAAATCAGTATTTAATCTTTCTCTTAGATAAACAATTATTGTAAACGACGTGTTCTGACACTCAAACTACAAAACAATCATTGATCTCTATTCTGAAATTCTCTCTCTACTAAAATGACATCCTTCAATCGAAAAGCGAGTGATTGATCACGCCGGACACATATAGAATTTTTATCCTATTATAGCATAAAAAAAGATTGAACGAAAAAGTAAAAAAAAAACCCCCAAAACAAAAACAAAACAGAAAATACACATTGCTTTATCCTTCAATTAAGCTGATGAAGCAAGCTACAGACAAAACACCGCCGGATTCTTTCCCCTTTGGATAAAAATTCATTGTATCGATATTTACCTTTAACTACGGCCATAGCCTAAAGAAAACCTTTTTTTATACATCTTAGCCGCTGTACGGAGGTAACGGCTTATTATTTAGAGAATAGTTCTATAGAAAATTTCGAATAGGAGTTGAAAGGTTTCATCTATCGTCCGGTTCAAACACCTTCCCGTCTTTTGGCAACGAGTATACGTTTATCTATTGTTTTCTCTTTAGGACTGGGTTTAGGGGTCCTTTTCCCAAATCCTCATTCTACGTCACTTCCCTTGCGTCTTAGTGGCATTATCACCTTGCTTGGGTTGAAATCATTAAAAATACAAACAAAACGAACGGGTTACTAATATCATTAAAATATTTCATTTTGGCCTTGTTTATTAGTTGTTTGGATGTTTTTGTTTAGCGGTATATATTAGGTTGGTGCAAAGATAATGAAGTAATAATGTCGTTTTTGACGTATTTTTTAACGTCAAAAAACGACATTCTTACGTCATTATTTTTGCACCAACCAAATCGACACCTCTATGAGTTATTTAATACCAGAAATTAAATATTTGTAGGCAGTTTTATTTTATTTTTGGCGATAATAATTTTTTTTTTTAGTGATATACGTCTTACTAATTACCCCGCAGCTGGCGGATTCATGCCATTCGCAAGATTATTTGTGCGTAAGTTAATATAAAGAACCCAATAAGAGTTGAAACTCGGCTATCCGATTAACAATTCCGAGGAATTATCTATTGCCGCACCCGCAAATCCAAGCTTTACAGCACCTGGCATTGCCAAGCGGTCACCCATCTAAGTACAGACAATGCTCGAGGTTGCTTACCTTCGGTGATAGTACGGAAATAGGTATTTCACCGTAATGTGGTCGTAAGCTTCTTGTTTACTAATTTTAGCCCGACTATAATCTCTTTTTTGAAATCAACTTCTTTTATGTATCGTCTCATTTCAGGACAAACCTAGCTCTTCACAACTTCCTATTTTTTTGTGACCTCTCAGTAATTTTTGCCGCCATACACTTGCGAGTCCCTATTCTCTCATTCATTTACATAAGCTCGTTAGGCATGTGAATCGCTGCTGCTATATGCCTATCTTGTCTTCAATATATCATGCGATTGTCAAGTTCTCCATGACCCCCTCCTTATAGTGCACCCCAGAAATATCAAGTGTGTCTAAACAAAAGTGTGTTTCACGTTCAAAATTTGCTTAAAACTTATTTTGTTATGTACAGGCTCCGTACGTGGCATTTTCAGCATTCTTTTTGCAGAACTACATTTCTGCTGACTCAAGGCTACGAAGAAATCATCCAAAATTCACTGCCACGTAGGAGGATCGATATTACATACCCGTTGTATACTTAATACTTCTTTTTAATATTTTGCTTAATTTTTGGAAGGCATTATTTGTTATTGCAATACGTTATCGAAATGCCGTGTCACATAAAATAGTAGCAGTCTGGCAGTTATTATTAATTTTTCTATTAGACTTTTTGACACCCTAAATTCATTTGCTTTCTATTGGGACTCCACAGACTGTCAATCTAATGCCGTCGGCAAGCAACACTGATTATAAATACAGACTAAACCTCCGTCGAAAGATCGAATTTAGTTCCCTTGAGAATCTTCTTTTAACGCAGTAGTTGCCTCATCAATCAGGCAATATTTTCTCCAATCGACGATGTCACTGTCGTCTTTAATCTTTTATTGCGATATATATATATATATATATATATATATATATATATATATAAATATTACAGCTTATGTTATAAACGCAAGATATATATATATATATATATATATATATATATATATATATATATATGAATGAAGAAATATAGTCTTAAGGTGTGCTATATTTATGGGATAAAGTGCTCGATATCAGAGATAGGCGTGTGTAAATATAAAAGTGAACATAAAGTCAACATTAGAGGCGACAGTCTGTTTCATGCTAGATGCAATCGTCAGGCCTGACGATTGCATATATGAAACAACTGTCACCTCTAAGTGTTGACTTTATATTCACTTTATATATATATATATATATATATATATATATATATATATATATATATATATATATATATATATATATATATATATAAGCGCAATATATATATATATATATATAAATATATACACATATACACATATACACACACACACACACACACACATATATATATATATAAGCGCAATATATATATATATATATATATATATATATATATATATATATATATATATATATATAATATATATATATATATATATATATACACAAACACATTACACATACACACACACACACACACACACACACACACACACACATATATATATATATATATATATATATATATTCCATGAGGATATGTAAAGTACCAGGTTGAGAATTGGCGCAGGCTAGCTGCCCTTGATGAGGGTGAAACAGGTCTTTCTGAGTTTTGGTTAGCCATCCTATTAGTGTTGATTTCACGATAAAAAGACTTCAGATGGGAAGGAAAACTCATGACAGTTTAACCCGGTCATTATATTGCATGTATCTGCCGAGAGGCGTGTACTGGCTGATACTGACTGTGATCCGGAGAGGTTAAACTCCGCGATAATAAAACATGAGGACTGTCGTTCGGAGTTTCCGTGCACGGTTACTTTTTTATCGACACATCCCAAAGAGTGTGGATGGTCCGACACAAGCCTTCACCACTTGAAACAATTCATTGTATTGGTTTTCTGAAAATTACATCTAATTTGTTCCACACATATCCGGCTAATGCGAAAAACACTACGAAAGAACATCAACATAATCTTGGCACTTGGAATGTACGAACTCTCCAGGACAACAGCTCAGCACCAGAAAGAAAAACAACTTTGGTCGCATTGGAGCTAAAGAAGTACAAAATTGATATAGCTGCACTGAGAAGTAACCAGAAGTCGACTACATGAAACGAGAAAGCAAAATAAAACATCTAACAGTGTTCCCGCTGCACTTGGATACAATACATTCTCTTGTCTCTTGTACTGTTTGTGGTCTTTTGTGCAATTCTCGAGCTGGTCTCAAAAGACATGCCGTCATAGGCATGCAGATAATTAATTCGTGGTCGTCGGAACTACGTCAAACTCGACGGAAGAATTCATCACACACACACACACACACACACACACACACACACACACACACACACACACACACACACACATATATATATATATATATATATATAGTACAAGTAATCGATCCGTTTGATATATAATCCGGGTCGATCCTAGTAATATTAATTATTAAAACTAATCCACAGAGAGCTCGACAAAACTCACAATATGTAAATCTATAATTCAACTAATTTACATTAATCTTAACGGGCTTAAGTTTAAATCCACCATCGCTTATTAATAATATTGGACACCTATAGTACAAAAACTATTTACTGTGAATCCCAGAAAAAACATACACGGGGCTTTGGTAAGAAATATCACATAGTAGGAACTGATATTAAACTACAAACAACAAGTCCTGGCCATAAATAAACTCCAAGTCCAGACCGCTTCCCCCAGTATAAGATACATTACTCCCCCACCAATAGCTAACACAAACCTTCCCTCATTAACAAAGCATCTATCAGGAGAGAACTGACGAATAAGTTTAAAACAATGCTCGAAGACAGACACTTAGGGGCTGATGATGGCTGTGTACAGGTATAAAAATTAGAAAATGTTTTTGTGACACGTTTCATCGATATTGTTATTACTACACATCCGTATGAATGATAGAGGCTGGCAGTTACACATTTTTTATTGCAATCATTTTGTCATAGGTTTTTTCTTTCAAAACCTGCTCTGGATATATAAAAAAATTATATAAAAATAAAATTATCTAACCAAATTTCTGGCGGAGTGAATTGCGTCAGGGTGCTCTTTTTCTCACAGATGGTGCCCAACTGACCCCACTATACTGTGCAGTTCATAAAATATAATATGGCGACAATTTACCTATTGCATTCTGTGTATATTTAATATATATATTAAATATTATGGTTTATTTTATAATTGCAAGTTGGTAATAAAATATATCTATGACCTGGAGATTGCGTTCAAGCATGATTCAAACTTTAGCTGCTTGTTGTTGACTTTGGTGTCCACTTGTATATTCAGATACGCTCTATCTTTGATATTGAGCACCTTTATTCCTAAATATAATATAATATATATATATATATATATATATATATATATATATATATATATATATATATATATATATCCGGTGTTCTTATAGATATTTTATTTTTACAAAATAGTGCTCAATGTAAATTTACAGAGCATTAATATTATAAATTGATTTATTTAAAATATGTTTTTTTTCGCTACACAGTTCTAACCATGTTTCAAAAATGGAAGCTAAAAACTACGAATTTAATTTTGTAATTAAATTAAAGACATTAATTCCATTTCTTCCTCAAGCGAATTTTGGAGTAACTTTTAAAATTACTGGGTTTTAAAGATACAGCTAAAATCATAATTCACGTTTCCAAGGTTACAGATGAATCCATTTTAACTAGACGAGGGGTGTCTGTATGTTCATTATGTCTGTGTTATTGTATCCGTTATTAGTAACGTTTTAGTAGAGGGTAGGGATGTATTTTTCAATGAAATCTAACATCCGTTGAATGCATGTCGTCTGGATTTTTTAAAACATTTATTGTTTTATTTATTTCATCACCTATCAATTAGAAATTATATATATATATATATATATATATATATATATATATATATATATATATATATATAAAAAGGCGTTGGTTAGATCCAGTGACAGGACCCAAAAGTGTGAATTCAATACTCGGTTAAGGCAGTGGAGAACTTTCAGAGGGGAAATTAGCAGGAGATAACTGATCACTGACATCCATCAAAACATGGCACGTGGAACTAGAACAGTCTACCCCAGTGAGCGAAATAAAGGGTTCAGTTCCAACCACCTGAAGAAGGCCGGAGCGTACAACGGCCGAAACGTTGTGATAAATATGGCGACAAAGATGAGAACAATAGTCCGAATAATGTAAATAATATATATATATATATATATATATATATATATATATATATATATATATATATATATATATATGTAATATTGCACATTGAGTGCTGTTATTAATACAGTAGCGCTCGATGCAATATAACAGAGATATAAACTACATATTAATAAATATATGTATTTATACTTAACGGTTATAAGACTCGGTGTTCAATGCTCAATGTTCAGGTGACTGACACGTATATAATATAAATTTTGATAAATATATCTAGTTGTCGCAATAATAGGGCAGTTCATATTTTATTCGGGATTTTTCTTTTTGAATTTTCTTTTCATCTTCTTCTTAATCTTTTCACTCATATTTTCTTTTATATAATTATGCATTTAAAATAACGGTAAAAAGAAGGAAAATGAAATAGAAAAAGAAAAGAAAAAAGAAAATGAAAAAAAAGAAAAATTCCCGTAAAATTATGGATAGCTTTATTATTGGGACACACCGATATATTTAACAAAATTTAAATTTTGTAACACAGTACCTGAACAATGTGTTGTGTTTGAAACTCCAAGGAATCGTGCTATCGGTGAAGATAAATATGTCTATTTATTAATATATATATATATATATGTATATGTGTGTGTGTGTGTTTGTGTGTGTGTGTGGACATAGAGGAAAATATATACACGCATCAAAAGAGAAAAGACGATATAAATGTTGAGAGAAAGCAATAATAAAATAATTTATAGCAATTGGTCGCGAAATTGTCAAGGCCAATATACACTGAAAGAATCATGTAAGCTTTAAAATTATTGGAACAGTTGTCTTCTACCAATAAAAAT